GAACTGCTGACATTGTCACCTACCTGCGCTTGCTCGACGCTAGCTACCGTGCTGCTTGCACCAAGGCTGAGATTGCAGCCGCCCCCCGTCCATCCACATCACAATTCACTTCATAGTCACGAGCCTCTCTGACCGCCTTGCACCTGTACGCGACACGCTTCTTCAGGAGCACCCTAGGGCACTCACTATTGAGGTCCTTACGAAAACTCTCAAGGACACCGAGAACAGCATCCGCTCCGTTGCCTCTGCTTCTGCCACCATAATTTCCCCACTCTTTCAAGGGTGTACTGTCCCACAGCTCCCCATCTTCACTGCTTCTCTTGCCTCTACTGAATCTTTGCTTCTGACGAGACTGCAGCCGTGTCCGTCGCTAGTGGGCGGGCTCAAGGCAAGGGAGGCGAGGCAAGAAAGGAGGCAAGAAAGGGGGCAAGAAAGGGCAAGAAAGGGAGGCAAGAAAGGTGGTGGCAGCAGTGATGGCAAAGGGGGTGGCAGAGGTAGTGGCGATATGAGTGCGTCTAGTGGAGGAAACACTGGAGGTGGTACTGGGCCTTCGGGTCCGATGGGTAAGGGTGCTGGACCAATTGGTTGGTACACAAAACAGCAGTAGCAGCAGCCCCAGCAGCAACAGAAAGGATAGCCATGGCAACAGGTTCAGTGGTAGGTGCAGCAGCAGTCTCAGTAGTTGGGATCTGGTGGGCCAAGGAGCGCTGGACGTGGCGGTGACCCACCCAGCTGGTCGTCACGTGGTGTCGCAACTACCTCCTACCCGTTGTTCGAACTGGCACTCGTTAGGGCGGCCCCTGTGGCCGTCTTCACCTTCCGGGTCAGTGCTTTGCGCAGCTCATGGACCGCCTCTGCGCGCAGTACGGCCTTGGCCCTTCTCCGGACTGGGCCCCACTAGCTCGCTCCCTTGGTTTGGCGTTGTTTGACATTTCCACGGCAGATGTGAGGATCGATAGGGTCGAGTTCAAAAAAGAGCGAGTATATTGAACGATCCACATGGGTACAACACGGCGATATATATAGTTTCGACACGAGGCCAGTAACCCAGGTGTTACGTGAAGGTTCCGAGGGTCGCGAAGCGTCCCGAATGGAGCCTTCCCAAAATCGGTAGAAGGCAATTTGGTGGCAACCGAAAGGCCTGGAATTCGGAACACACAACCTGGTTCGGTGCAATAACTATATAAAATATAGGAAAGCACCCAATCTAGGGAATCAAGCATAAGCATGCATGATAAAATAAACCTAAGCTAGAAATAGCAAAATTAAGTCAAGGCAAGCAAGCAAAGCTGGCATACGCCGTCGTACTCGCACACATCCCCCCCTCAAAGCTGGGTGGCGTGAGAAACACCCTGCTTGACAAGATAATCCTTGAGAGCACGGCGTGCGTTGCCCATATCAGCTTCTGCAACCCAGCTGTCCTCCGATGGGTCATATCCCTTCCAGCGTATCAGGAACTCGAGGGTCTTGCCGCCGCGGTGCCGATGAGTGAGAACGCATTCCACCTTGTACTCTGGTTCATCCTGTACGAGAACAGGTGGTGGTGGCGGTAGCTGCCGTCCCTGGAACTGGTGGTTGGGGTCCTTGTAGGGCTTCAGCAGCTGAACATGGAAAGCGTTGTGAAGCTTCCACGTAGTAGGTAAGCGCAAGCGGAATGTAACTGGTGTCACCTGTGCCTCCACGAGAAAGGGACCACAAATGCGAGGCCGGAGCTTGGATGGTGGGTGAGATAGGTTCAAGTTGCGCGCGTCAAGGAGCACCTGATCTCCGACTGCTACTGAGTGATCTCGTCGCTGGCGATCGGCATACTGCTTCTGGGAGTTCTGCATCATGGTGAGACGTCGCTGAGTCTTCTCCCATAGCTGCTGCATGGTGGTGACGAAGTCGTGAGCGGCTTGGACGTGTGCCGATGTGGTTGGCTGCTGTGGTGTAAGTGGTTCCCGTCCGTAACACAGGAAGAAAGGAGATTTCTGTGTGGCCACATGTGAAGCGTTGTTGTAAGCGAACTCAAGTGTTGGTAATTGTGTATCCAAGTGGCTGACGTCGTCTTTGCAAGCTGTGCGCAGTAACTGTTCAACCACCTAATTGAGTCGCTCCGTCTGTCCGTCAGTCTGGGGATGGTATGCTGAAGACATTGCAAGCTTAGTCCCCAACAGTCCCATGAGTTCCTTCCTGAACTTACTCGTGAATTTTGGGTATCTGTCTGAGATTAGTGTAGTGGGGATGCCTTGGATGGTGATGATGCGGTCGAAGAAGAGGCGAGCAGTTGCTTCAGCTGTAGCCGTGGCGTTGGTCGGAATGAAGTGACCCATTTTGGAGAACTTATCGATCACCACGAGTGTAACGTCATGCCCTCATGAGGTCGAAGGAAGTCCCGTAATGAAGTCGAGGCTAGCGACTTGCCATGGCTGCTCCGGTATGGGTAGAGGCTGAAGTAACCCTGATTTTTTCTGCTTGCTACTCTTCATCCGTTGGCACGTGTCGCATGAGGTGACAAACTGCTGCATGTCGGCTGCCATCCGGGGCCAATAGTAATACTTTGCTATTCCCGCTAACGTCTTGTTGCTCCCGAAATGTCCCGCGTATGCTACGTCGTGAAACTCCTCCAGTAAGATCTGTCGGTACCCAAATCTTTCGGTACCCAAATCTTTCCTGAACCCTTCCTTACAGCTAAGTCTTTCTCCCACTGTAACAGCTTCTGTTTCTGTGCTGTAGCAATCTTTGCATCCACAGAGTACCCACGTTGGAATAGACCCTTGAGCAGAGGGTTCATCCCGTCGAGCTGGATGCTTGCTACATGACCGGGGCGGCTCAATGCGTCTACTTTGTTGTGTAGCCCGGGTTTGTAGACGATGTCGTAGTGGAAGTGAGTTTCCAGGAAGTCCACCCACCGCACCTGTCGTCGTGAGAGCGTAGGCTGCGACTTGAGGTATTTGAGACTGCAGTGGTCAGTGCAAACTGCAGTTTTGGCTCCCTCTAAGTAAAACCTCCACGCCTTGAAGGCCGTAAATATTGCTAAGGCTTCCTTGTTATGGATGGGGTAGTTGAGTTCTGCTCTGTGTAGCTTCTTACTAAGGTAGGCGATGGGCTGCAAACCGGTCCATGATCCTGCATCAAAACTGCTCCGACTACCTGGTCACTAGCGTCTGCTTCCACCGCATAATCGTTGTCTGGATCCAGTTGGATGAGTACAGGTGCTGTAGTCAGTGCTGTCTGTAGCTGCTCCATGGCTTGTTGTTGAGGAGTATCCCATTTACCGGGCGTATCCTTTTTCAGTAAGTTCATCAATGGCGCTGCTATTTTAGCGTACTGTGGCACGAACCTGTTGTAGTAGTTGGCAAAGCCTAGGAACTGCTGCAACTCCTTCACAATCTCAAGAAATTTCCACGTCTTGACGACTTCGATCTTCCACAGGTCCAGGTGTACGCCCTCCGCACTCACCATGTGCCCGAGAAACTGCACCTTCTTCAGGGCGAAGTCGCTCTTCGACAGCTTCACGTATAACTTGTTTTTCCGCAGGATCTCGAAGACTTTCCGCAGATGCTCCACGTGCTTCTTCATGTTCTTGGAGTAGATGAGAATGTCGTCCAGGTACACCACTACGCACTCGTCCAGCAGGGGCCGTAGGATATGGTTCATCTCCGCCTGGAATGTCGTCAGTGCGTCGCAGTGTCCGAACGACATCACTAAGTACGGAACACCGTCTTGTGGATCTGCCATTTTGATCTGCTAGTAACCCGACCCTAGGTCCATCTTCGAAAATACTGTTGCACCACGGAGTTGGTTTAAGAGGCCGTCTATGCGTGGTATGGGGTATTTATTTTTTACTGTCTGTTTGTTTAGTGCTTGGTAGTCGATGCACATCCGTAAATCACAGTCCGGCTTTGGAGTGAATAGAACTGGTGCACCGTAGGGAGAGGTGGATGGGCGGATCAGTTTTCTGTCCAGAATGTATTTGATCTGCTTCTTCATGTCTGTCAGCTCGGTCGGACTAAGGCGGTATGGTGCACATGAGATGGGTTCTGCATCTGGTTCCTCCACGATCTTGTGCTCGTGGGTTCACGCTGAAGGTACTCATGCAGGTTGGTCGTCTGGCATGATGTCTTTGTACTGCTCCAACACCTCCCGTGCTTCTGCAGGTAGCTCCGAGTTCAGCTTCTCCTCTACTGCTGTCATAACCAGTGCTAAGTACCCCGTATTACTCTCGTTCACTTTCCGTTCGAACCGTGCAAGTGTCATTCCAAAAACATCCCTTGCATCCGTCCAGCTTCGCAGCGCCACTCGTTTCCCGTTGTTGTTGATGCATGCCTTCAAGTTGACCCAGTCAATCTCGGGGTTGAACCGCTTCAGGAAATCTCGCCCCAAGATGAAATCTAACCCTTTGATGTTCGTGATCGGCAACGTCGGCTTCCATCTCAACGCACCTATCTGTAGCTGCAGTGATGTTTCGCCTTGGATGGGAAGTTTCGTACCGTCTTCTATCATTGCCGTGAACTGGGTCTCCTCCGAAGACTCGACAATTTTCTCCAACGTCCCGCGGTCGCCTGCACACTGAATGGGATGCACCACTGTCCACCAGTGCTTGGAGGCGTCGCCCTTGGCATCACACCTCGAGGAGTAATGGTTTATGCTGCATTGAGTAGCCAAAGATAGTCTAGTCAATAGGATCATAGGGTACATCAAAATACTCATTATCCCTATTTCCTTTACCTGACTCAGCACTCTTAACTTCCAACTTCAGCTAGGGGGTGGAAGGATTTTTCAAATGCTTGAATAACTTTTCCTGATCGTGGAACCTTCCCCTAAGCCTTTGCAGTTGTGTAGGCTTCACCTGTGGGCAATGGGGAGCCTTAACACGGTGTTTTGGGGAGAGAATATTAACTCCACGGAACGCACGACCCTTTTCAATGATCCGGAGTTGTTTGCCCAATTTCTCATGTACCTGAATATTTTCAAAGGCTTGAAAATCACGACAAATAATATTCTTAGTTAAAGTATCTTTATAGGATAACTTTAACAAATTCTACTCTCGGGGGTATTTGGCTGGAGTTTCTGGGTCTGTGCAGAGTCATCTTTCGCGTAGCCTCGGAGTCGCCACGTCGTCGTTTTTTCTTCTTCTTCTTCTTCTTCTTCTTCTTCTTCTTCTTCTTCTTCTTCTTCTTCTTCTTCTTCTTCTTCTTCTTCTTCTTCTTCTTCTTCTTCTTCTTCTTCTTCTTCTTCTTCTTCTTCTTCTTCTTCTTCTTCTTCTTTTCTTCTTCTTCTTCTTCTTCTTCTTCTTCTCCCCGGATCTTTTCATAATCGCCAGATCGATATGTGGCTACTGGCGATTCCTGTTTTTTTACTTAGAAGGTGCCGCACTATTGTTGCCCAGCATTTTCGCACGTGCTTTTTTTCATTTTGTAACACGACAAAATCCGGCTGCATTGTGTCTCCATTTTCAGTCTCTCAGAGTACGACTGCAGTTTTTCCCCTTCACCCACGTCTGAAATTCGGTTAAATAACTGCTCCATCTGCTGCGTGTACTGCGCTACACTGCCGAACTGTTTGTGTCGATGAACCTGCTGCCGCGCCATGTGGCTCGAATTAATAGGTTCGAAACGCACGATTAAATCTGCCCGAAACTGCGCCCACGATCCCTCGCCTTGAACCACATCACTGTAGTACACCCATTCGAGTGCCGGGCCTCGCAATAGTGTCGCTGCGAGCCGAATCCTCGCTGCGTCATGCGTCGGGGTCGTACAACCAATGGCCTTGAAATAAAATTTCGAGTGTAGTTACGAATCATCGAACGTCCGATCCCTTCGTGCTCGGATCGAACGCTTCCGGGAGCCTCGGACGAGCTGCCTCGAGATTAGCCGAAGCTGGTGCCACTGGTGTGTGAAATGTCGGTGTCGCCGCTGCTGCTGTTACCGTCGCTGCTGTATTCGCTGCTGCGTTCGCTGCTGCCGTGGCGGCTGCCGACTGGTTCGCGAGGAGCGCCTCTATTTGCTGGAGTGCCACCAGCGTCTACTCCATTTCCGTGTGAAGGGTTGCGACTTCCGTTACGAAATTGTTAGAAACAATAGGAGTGGGGCCTAGGCTTAGTAGCCTAGGCCCACACTAGGAGGTAGTAGGTTGTGCCCTAGGACTAGGGTTTGTGGTATACGAAGGAGAATTGGAGAAGTGAGAATGGGAATGATGATGAACTAGCAAGCAGCAGGATACATATAGGAAACCCTAAGGGGTTGTACTCACTAATGAGCACCCCACTGCAGGCTAGACAAATAACATAATCTGACACACCCCCATAGCCAAAGTGGGGTGTAATCAGCACACGTGAGAAGTCACAGCAATAGTTCACAATTATCAGCAAAGCTAGTGGCAGTCACAGGAGGCCAGTGAGGAGGAGGAGGAACTGTGGAGGGAGAGAAGAGAGGAGGCGACGACTGAAGTTGCAGACACACGGGCACCAGGAGCACCAGGCTGCAACCTCCTCCAACTGTCTCACTCCCCCCTACACACACCCCCAGGGTCACCACTCGCTCCTCGCCCACATCACCCCCCTAGCGCCACTCCCTCGTCTCCCACACATCCACCCCCCCGCAGCGGCAGCTGCAGCAGTGGGAGACGGAGGAGAAGGAAGGGGCGACGCACAAGGAGCACCCCCACACCCGCCACCCCCACACCCTCCTGTCCAGGGGACCCAAGGGGGGGGGGGGGGGCCGGGGCGGGAGAGCGCACGAGGGCGCAGGCAACCGCGCGTGCAGAGCAACAGCGCGGAGCAGGTAGGGTAGAGCGCACGAGGGCGCGGGCAACCGCGCGTGCAGAGCAACAGCGCGGAGCAGGTAGGGTAGAGCGCACGAGGGCGCGGGCAACCGCGCGTGCAGAGCAACAGCGCGGAGCAGGTAGGGTAGAGCGCACGAGGGCGCGGGCAACCGCGCGTGCAGAGCAACAGCGCGGAGCAGGTAGGGTAGAGCGCACGAGGGCGCGGGCAACCGCGCGTGCAGAGCAACAGCGCGGAGCAGGTAGGGTAGAGCGCACGAGGGCGCGGGCAACCGCGCGTGCAGAGCAACAGCGCGGAGCAGGTAGGGTAGAGCGCACGAGGGCGCGGGCAACCGCGCGTGCAGAGCAACAGCGCGGAGCAGGTAGGGTAGAGCGCACGAGGGCGCGGGCAACCGCGCGTGCAGAGCAACAGCGCGGAGCAGGTAGGGTAGAGCGCACGAGGGCGCGGGCAACCGCGCGTGCAGAGCAATAGCGCGGAGCAGGGCGCACGATGCACGAGGCACGAGGCACGAGGCACGAAGCACAAGGCACAAGGCACAAGGCACGAGGGCGCAGGTAGGTAGGTAGGTAGGTAGAACAAACGAACACAGGCAAAACGAACAAATACTGAGTGGGCAAGAAAAGACACATACAGAACGAGAGGAACAAGACTGCGGGTGACAGGAAAAGGAGGCGGCTGCACCGGGACCAGGAGCGGCGTCGCATGCAGCTGCAGGGTCGGCGTCGTGGGCTGCTGCAGAGGCGGCTGCTGCAGGGGCGGCTGCTCGGGTCCAGGGGCAGCTGCAGCAGTGGCGACTGCTCCAGGGGCCAGGGGCGGCTGCTGCAGGGGCGGCTGCTCCAGGGGCGGCGTCGCGGGCCCAGGGGCGGCTGCACCAGGGGCGGCGGCTCCAGTGGCGGCTGCTCCAGAGGCGGCTGCTGCAGAGGCGGGCGACTCCAGGGGAGGCTGCTGCAGTGGCGGGCGGCTCCAGTGGCGGCTGCTGCTGTGGCGGGCGACTCCAGGGGCGGCTGCTGCAGTGGCGGGCGACTCCAGGGGCGGCCGCTGCAGTGGCGGGCGGCTCCAGGGGCGGCTGCTGCAGTGGCGGGCGGCTCCAGGGGCGGCTGCTGCAGTGGCGGGCGACTCCAGGGGCGGCTGCTGCAGTGGCGAGCGGCTCCAGGGGCGGCTGCTGCTGTGGCGGGCGACTCCAGGGGCGGCTGCTGCAGTGGCGGGCGGCTCCAGTGGCGGCTGCTGCTGTGGCGGGCGACTCCAGGGGCGGCTGCTGCAGTGGCGGGCGACTCCAGGGGCGGCTGCTGCAGTGGCGGGCGGCTCCAGGGGCGGCTGCTGCAGTGGCGGGCGGCTCCAGGGGCGGCTGCTGCTGTGGCGGGCGACTCCAGGGGCGGCTGCTGCAGTGGCGAGCGGCTCCAGGGGCGGCTGCTGCTGTGGCGGGCGACTCCAGGGGCGGCTGCTGCAGTGGCGGGCGGCTCCAGGGGCGGCTGCTGCAGTGGCGAGCGGCTCGAGGCGCGCCCTGGCCTGGCGCAGTCCGTACGGGCCGCGCTGGCGCTCGCGGCTGGCCGTGGCGCTGGCGTCCGCGCGGGGCGACGAAAGGGGGGGCGCGGGGCGACGAAACGGGGGCCGCGGGCGACGGGAACGGGGGGGCCGCGGGCGACGGGAACGGGGGGCCGCGGGCGACGGGAACGGGGGGCCGCGGGCGACGGGAACGGGGGGCCGCGGGCGACGGGAACGGGGGGCCGCGGGCGACGGGAACGGGGGGCCGCGGGCGACGGGAACGGGGGGCCGCGGGCGACGGGAACGGGGGGGCCGCGGGCGACGGGAACGGGGGGCCGCGGGCGACGGGAACGACGCGGGGCGACGCGGGGGCGACGGGGCAGAAAGCCGCCGCGCGCCTCGGGGCGCACGGCGGGCAGAAAACCGCCGCGCGCCTCGGGGCGCACGGCGGGCAGAAAACCGCCGCACGCTTCGAGGGCGCGGCGGGATGAAAAATTAGGGTTTCGCCGCCGCGCACCACGGGGCGCGCGGCGGACACTACGGCAGCGGAAGCAGGTGGTGGGCCCATAGAGGTAAGCGGCAGGAACGTGCTCGCTCTAGATACCATGTTAGAATCCCAGTCACTAACCACTGGGATAAAAGGGCTTGTTTGTGTAGCGGGTGAGTGCGCCCATAACCCCCCAGGCCAACGTGCCTGTAACCCTTCCCTAGGATCAATCGGGGATCACCAGTGGACCTCTGACACCCCCCCGCACTGGGATGCCCGAGGTGCACACACCGGGATTCGAACCCGAGATCTTCGCTCTGATACCATGTCAGAATCCCAGTCACTAACCACTGGGATAAAAGGGCTTGTTTGTGTAGCGGGTGAGTGCGCCCATAACCCCCCAGGCCAACGTGCTTGTAACCCTTCCCTAGGATCAATCGGGGATCACCAGTGGACCTCTGACAGAAATTGCCGCCTGCGCCCTCAATTCCTGACATCGCGTCCGAAAACCGAAATCGAGGGGGACTGAAAGAACACGGAACCGGTTTTACGTACCCGAAATCGGTGTTTAACGTTTGTCGCCCGCACGATTTTTTATTTAAGACTGGTTTTTAGCTGTTGAAGACTTCGCCAAGTGTAAACGAGCCCTGATTACCTAGTGTGAATGATCCACCTGGGTACAATACGAGACTATATATAGTTTCGACACAAGGTCGGTAGCCTAGGTTTTACGCGAAGGTTCCGAAGGTCGCGAAGCGTCCCGAGTGAATCCTTCCCAAATTTGGTAGAAGGCAATTCGGTGGCAATCGAAAGGCCTGGAATTCAGAACACGCATCCTGGTTTGGTGCTATAATTATAATAAAATATAGGTAAGAACCTAACCAAGGGAATCAAGCTTAAGCATGCATGATAAAATAAACATAAGCTAGAAATAGCAAAATACAGTCAAGGCAAACAAGCAAAACTAGCATGAGCCGTCGTACTCTCACAACAAAGTTGCTTGATGCATTGTGATCTGCTTCTGTGATGTATGCCGAGGTTGACTATAGTGCTCCTGGATCTGTTTGTTTGTGTTTTAATGGCCTAGGATCCTTGCCTACTGCTAGTGTAAGTGCTTGTGCTTCCAGTCTAGGTGCTTGTATAGTTACTAGCCAAAGGGTACGTACGGGTGATCTGTCGCTCTCCTTCACGATGGACTCTGGCGCGTCTCAGTGCTTCTTTCACGACTACCTGATTGGTACACCGTTTCCTGGTCCGGTTCCGGTTGCCCTGGCTGATCCTGCTTCAAGACCAGCAGTTGCTCGCAGATCTATCACCCTCCCGTGCCCGGCTGTCCCCTCTCCATATCTCCTCTTTTTTACAGGAACTTGGTGGATGTTGGACCCCTTTAGGACCTCGGTGTTGGCACATGGTTTCCTCCACATGAGCATGTTGCGAACTACATGGGCGATGCCTCTGCGGAGATAACTACTACAACGGGAGCTAGACTACGGGGAAGGCACGGGTGTAGGAGTTGTAACGTTCTTTAGTCGCTTGTTCGTGTTCACACTGCTTGCGCATTCACGGGAAAAATTGACAAGATTTTCACTAGTAAAAGTTCACAACAATGATACACAATGCAAAGCGATAATGGAGTACATCAGATGCAAGCAAGCATGCAGGCTGACTGCCAGCATAGCACGGTCGACCGCGTTCCAGCACGGCAAGGTCAACCGCGTTCCAGCAGAGCAAAGTTGCAGTCTGCCAATGCTGCAAGTCGGCGGCATGACAACGCTGCAGCAAGGTGGCTGCACAACGTTGTACGCACAGGACAGCAGTGCACCTGCTTCGCAAGTGCTCACAGCTGATTGGCGTGCTACAACCGCAAAATGCTCGCGATTGTGCACACGTTCAAAGTGTGGCGTTGTTACTTGACCGCCGCCAACGTGACAGTACGGACGGACCACAAATCACTACAGTACCTCCGCGCACAGCCCCACGACAGAGTCACCTCCGGACATTTCAAGGTTGAGAAGACACGACAATAGCTGCAGCGATATTACTATTTGCTCGAGACGCTGATTGGCGTGCAACAACACGTGGCATGGTGTCCCACCTGCCAGCTCGTGAAATCATTGCGACAGCGACTAGCTGGGCAGTTGCAGTCGATACCACCCCCAGAACGCACTTGGCAGCAGGTGATGATGGACTTCGTCACGGGGTTACCGGCTGGAGCAAGTGGGAACGACACGATCCCGGTCGTCGTCGATCGGCTAACGGGGATGGCCCATTTTGCAGCTAGCAAGAAATCAATCTTAGCTGAAGAAACAGCCCGACTCTTCATCTCAATAGCCGTTCGACTGCACGGGATACCCACGGCGTTAATGAGCGACCGCGATACGAAATTCACCAACAACGTCGGGAGGAACCTGTGGCAGCAGTTCGGCACGCGACTACAGTTCAGTTCATCGTACCACCCTGAGACCGACGATCAAACAGAACGGACCAACCAGACCATGGAACAGTTAATTTGAGCCACGTGCGACGACTCGACAACTCGGGAGCAACAATTGCCACTCCTCGAATTCGCGTATAACAACTCAGGCAGACAAAAGAGAAAACATTACAAGAACAGACCTGAGACCGTCGACTTCTTTCCGCTGGCGGTGGAGACCTATGGCTGCCCATGTGCAGAGGTCCCCGTCTTCCTGAAACTCCTGGCAGACACGGCGGCTCGGCGCTACTTCAACGCCGACTCTAACTCCTATCATGCTGCTAAGTTTCTGCATCAGTTTAGGCAGCGGTGGTCGGTTGCTCTGCAGAGAGCACAGTCGGTGGGCCTACTCATGAAGTTGGGCGAGGCGGCAGCAGCTGAAAATCCCCGAGTGGGGGGTATCGGCCATGAACTACACCTCGGAGATTGCTTTGCTGTTTTAGAGCCTTTGGTAGAACTCTAGATGGGATAGGCTAGGACTTGCATGTGTTACAAAGATCCAGACTTGTATGTGTGTACCTTTCTGCCATATCAATATCCGGACCATTAGAGAGAGAGAGAGAGAGAGAGAGAGAGAGAGAGAGAGAGAGAGAGAGGAGAGAGAGAGAGAGAGAGAGAGAGATAGAGAGAGAGAGAGAGAGAGAGAGAGAGAGAGAGGAGAGAATTTTTTCGCCAGTTCGAGAGAGAGAGAGAGAGAGAGAGAGGAATAGCCTCTCCCCTCAGCCCTTAGCCTCTGCCCGTAGCCTTTAGGCCCTAGTTAAGGCCTTCCTAAGGCCGTTTTCTCATTGTTAGTTTGGCGGCTGAGAATTTTTCGCTCGCGCCGGCCGCCTTCGGCGGCCGACGCTCGACGGCGCGGCCTTCGGCCGCGCGTGAGGGGACGGCAAGCAATCACAAAAGGACGGTTTATAGTCACAATCATTACACACATGGCAGCACCTACCGCGGCCTAGCCGCAAAAACCACTAATGGAGCTACTGGAGCCCACGCCTACATGCGGTGAGCTCCAAGGGCGTGAAGAACGCCCGTCAGGGAGCGCCACAGCTCCCGGACCACAAGCGTGCTTGCGCCGATCGCCGCGGCTCCAGATCCTGCGCGCAAATGCCGCTTCAAGCTCCGGACAGCCTCGTCCAGCTGTCCCGCAGCAGCAGCGCCTCCCTCCGCGGGCGCAGCCAGCACGGGCGCCAGCAGCACTGCGAGCTGGTCCGCCGCATCCAGGCAAGTCTCGCGCGGACGGTCGCGGAACGACTCAGAAGAGATCACAAGGAGTGAGGAGTGAGCAAGGACCTGTATCAGCAGCAACGCGTGGAGACTCTCGGCGAGGCGGTGGAGCTGACCGAGAGTCGACTGGGGAACACGAGTCTGCGGAGGCTGAAGCGCCTCCGCCAGGAACTGGAGCGGCTCATCAGCTGCATACTGAGCCGCTGCCGCGCCACCACCCGCGGCCACGAACTCCACCCCCGCAACAGGCGGAACCGGCGGCAGATGCAGACGAGAGCCGGGAGCTGGCGCCGCCACAGACAGAGAAAGAGCTGACGGGCCGAGGACGGGTGGAGGAAACGCGGCAGCCGGCGGAGGGACCACAGGAGGCGCAGTCGGACGAGGAGCCACGGGCGCCGGCGCGGCCCGCGGGGAACTGCTCTGGCTCAGCGCCGCCCTCTCTTCACGCACGGCCCGTGACACCTCCCGCTGAAGATCCGCCATTGTCACAGGCGGGCGGAACGCTCCACGGGGACCTCGCCAGCCCCCATTCCCACCGCGATGAGCGGGCCACTGGGCCTGCTGCTGGTAGCGCCGGGGAGAGTTGCGCCGGCGCCGCGACGACTCCCGCTCCTGCAGGGGCGTGGAAGAATGGGGGCGGGAGAGTCGGCGGTCTGGCGATTGGGGACAGGCCGGCCGCCGGCAGAAGAGCGGGACCAGGCTGGTCCACGCCCTGAGGCGCAACCATCGGGGCCGGGCCGCCAGTGGTGGCGGACACCGCCTTCGGGGAAGAAGCAGACGCCGGCGCAAGCACGCCGGGGACAGAAACGGCAGGTGCAACGGGCGCAACAGGGACAGGGACAGGAGGAACAGCAACCTCCCCAGCAGGAGCAGAGGCCGCCGGTGGCACAACAGGAGCAGGGGGAACAGGGCCAACAGGCGGAGCAGGGGGAGCAACAACCGGCGCAGACGGCGCAGCCCCGTTCACGTCATGAGGACCCGCGGATTCGAGGGGAAGAGTCATTTCAGCGGCTACTGTCAAGGACTTCGGAGCAGACAGCGGCGGGGACCCCGTCGCCAAGGTCCCCGCTCCAGAGGTAGATGACAGTCTTTCGAACGCAACCGACGCGGCGCCAGCGCGCATTGGCGAGTAATCGGTCACTCCAGCTATCACCAACGCGAGGCCGGGGAGCGCGCGGCGGAGGGCGAGGAGCAGCTAGCGGACAGGGAGGAGGGCCGGAGAACGGCTATCAGATAGACGCTCGAAGGGCTTTAAGCAGGCTACATAATGACGAAGAGGGAACTGACCCCTCTTATAGGGAGGAGCCCATGCCCTCGAGCGAAGATGAAGGGACGGAAGGAGAGGAAGGAGTACGGGAGAACGGGAGGAGGACGGGAGCAAGACCATTGCGGTCCCAAGGCGAGCAACGGGACACTGCAGGTGGACCGTCCGATGCCGATCGTACGGGCGAAATTCCAACCACACAAACCCAAGCGGGGATGGGCCGCAGCAGGCGACATCGGGCCGCGACGGACACGGAGGCGGTGCGAGAAAATCCCAACCTCCCTCGCTACTTCACGCCAGAGGAACTGGCGATGCGGGCAGACTGGTTCGCGGACGTCGCGAACTGGGATATCCCTGCCCTCTGCGATAGTCGACAGCCATCTCTGGCACGGCGGTTACCGCCAAATTTGTGCCAGCTGTTTTCGCTGGCGCTGCTGACCCCGTTACTCCACCTGTCACGAAACCCGGAATCAGAGGCGGGTTGGCGCCTTCTCCTCTTTCTGCCACGTCTGACGCTTCGCCAAAACTCGCCAGGGCTGGAA